TTACCTGCATCTTGCCTTACAATAATCCTTCGAGGAGAGGTCAAAACTTAAATTATCAATATCTAAACACAACATTTAATTATAATGTTCATTAGCCGCACCTGGGACTTAGGTCCAACAGCATTAAGCCGGCTTGTAAAGTGTATCCCCTAACCCAAGGGTTGAGATTCGAGTCTCCACTCCTCCATATTTGTAACCTTGTTCAAAAAAAAAAAAAGTTCATTAGGCAATGGTTAATTGCATAAAATAATTAGGCAATGGTTAAGATTATCAAAATTATAAAAATTGATGAAAATTCTTAATGCACAAGGGGACTAATAATTGGAAAAAAATACTTCTGCAATTTCATTATTCAACCGTGCTACAAAAATCAAAGAATCTCCTACATAATATTTTGTACAATACTATCGGTTTCCCTTTCGAATGTTGATTTGAGTTTTGAGCTTCCTCTTTAGACAAGAGGGGAACAAGTGGAAGTGGTAGGATCGAACAAAGCAGGGAGCAAGTACTTCCTCCCATTCACGCCATTGGCATTGTAACTGGCGCCGGTTGTACCGTCCACCAAGAGATCTCCGGCGTAACCAGGGTAGGCCCCTTTTCCGTAGATACCAGGACAAGCGGATGCAGCCTCCAGTGGCGCTTCCTTTGGTCCTTGATAGAACCCATTGCCGAAGGGGTTTGTGGCGGTTCCGGCCAAGAGTCCCGCCAAATTTATCACCACACCGTCAAGACCGACATCGTTATTTGGTGCAACCAAAGGAGGGTTCTGTGGTCCGTAGATGGGCTGATGGAATGGCCAGGCGCATTGACCTGGGCACTGGGTCTCCGAGTTACCGACCCAGATGTAAGCAAACTTGGATCGCTTGGTAGACCCCATTGCAGACCCATGAGTCCCACACCTGCTGGAGCAGAACCCTTCCACAGCCACATCGGCTGCCGTCAATACTACATTGATTGCGTTTAGCTCGGAACCCTTTGACGCAAATTGCACAATCTGCTGGTTCGTGAGAGATTTACCCAAAGAGTAACTCTCATCAATGATCTGCGTACCCAAAGAAATGTCTCTTACAGTCGAAGACCACTTGACTCGAAAGATCATATGCATGGTCGTTAAATGATTAGATTCATAGCGAGACGAGGTTTTGATGCTTTCGATTGGCTTTGTTTTGTTAAAGCATGTTTTTATTGTAGGTCTTCTTCTGCCATCTGTTGTGATTGCCCGCGTTCTAAACGAGCTTTTAATGAATCATGTGCTAGGAATGACTGATGAGCTTTTATTACATTAGCTGTATCCTCAAATTTATCCCGTAAATAAGAAGATATAGATAGTTTTACATTTTAAAAAATTTAATTAAGGTAATAACTTATTATTTAATGTGTAATATTGTCCATTTTTAAAAATTTATTTATCACATAAATTTATTTTTAATAAAAAATTGACATGTAATGTTACATGTTAAATAATAAATAATTTATTTTTATTAATAATTTAACTAAATAATTTGTTTTTATATTTTTTATGCATGCTTTAATATCATATTAAAAAATAATAATATTTTAATAAATATATTATATTATATATTAAATCAAAATATATATTAATTATTATCCTATTAAAAAACATAATAATTGCACGGTTAAAAAGAACTCGTAAAATACTAGTAATACCTGCACAGATTTATTCCTCACCATCTGTATTAATGGAGAAGCAGCAGCCTAAATTCGAGCTTTTTGGGTTGAAGGGAATGATTAGAGCATCCAATTCGGGTAGAAAAAATGCAAGCCATTAACTTCTTTAACGCTAACTTATTTGTTAAGCTGTGGTCATTAATATTTAGCGGACTATACCAAAGAGGATGGACCCAAAAGGGCAAAAACTAGTGAGTCTTTCTTTTTTAAGGCTAATTATTTACAAAACATG